TTGGTCCCAGTCAATGAATCAAAGAAACAATTTGTTGCATGTTCAAGGGAGATAATTATCAGTTTAGATGGTTAATTCCCTTGAACACAACACAACTGTTAAGTTTAGCATGTTTCAACATGAAGAACTTGAAAGGTTCTTTTTATCAATAAAATCACAAATGACTCACTCGCTAAAGAACTAATCAATTTCTTATATCCCGATAAATTAGAAATTTATTGACACCAAAGCTAAGGGGTATAGAGCAGCAGTAAGAAAGATAACGGGCGTCATCATGACTTAATCGAAAAAAATATAATGTAACTTATCTGGTTATTATCACAATAGTATATCGAGTTGCATTTTCTTGCAGATTTTGTGAGGTTTTGAGAGATTTTCATGCGGAAAGATGATTCTAAAAATAGTCGTTTTGTGTGCAGTTGCAGTCAAGCGGATGTTGAAAAAATGTAGGGGTCTACTTTAGTTTGGCTAGTTCAAAATTTTCATGGCAATGACATATTGAATTTTTTCCAAAAACTAAATATTGTCCAGGCTTTCATGTGATATATTGGAAAGTTTTCTGGAAAAGTTAAAGAAGGTTGAATTTTGAGATTAAACATGGAAATAAATAGAAAATGAATTACCGGGGTGTGTCCAAATTGGATGAAAATATTTTCATCGGTTACCTCCCTTGAACTTTCGAATTTGGTTTTATTTTAGACTTTCTTATTGTTGTGTATGTTTAGTAGCAATGGCGGATGTGGCGGGGTAGCCTATGCCTACTCTTCTAGACATCTGATTTTCAATATGAAATACTTCCTCACTTATGACTGATATAAATCCTCATTTGAAAAGTTCATTATCTGCTACCAATGTTTCGCCATTATGTGTTTTCCGTTTGCGGTTCGGGTCGTTAGTAGTTCTACTTGAAAAATACAACACTTAAGGAAGACTTTTAGTGCAACATGACCAAGATTTTTGACCTTACTGTTAATCCGAAACAAACAAGGTCAGCATTTACAACTTGCAAATAAAATCACATGAAAATAAGTTAATTTGGACCAATGCATCAATTAAATTTTAACATACCTTGATCTTTTGAAATCCCTAGCCTAAATCATAAACCTTCCTCGTATTTTCAGAAATTTGCTCTACTTGAAATTTTGTTTAATTATGAAAATTTGTGTTCGATATATGACAACATTATTGACAGTGTATATATATACAGTGTAACTGAACTATAGTAAATATGTAAACAAAAACTTATGTTAAACTACAGAGGGATATGTGCAGATAAGAGAAAAAATCCACAATCTCGTTCCATGCCATAAATATGAAAATTAACTGTATTGAACCACAAAATCATATTTTGGCGTAGTAAGAGAATAAATCCACAATCTCGTTAGATGCCATAAATATGAAAATTAACTGTATTGAACCACAAAATCATATTTTGGCGTAGTAAGAGAATAAATCCACAATCTCGTTCCATGCCATAAATATGAAAATTAACTGTATTGAACCACAAAATCATATTTTGGCGTAGTAAGAGAATAAATCCACAATCTCGTTCCATGCCATAAATATGAAAATTAACTGTATTGAACCACAAAATCATATTTTGGCGTAGTAAGAGAATAAATCCACAATCTCGTTCCATGCCATAAATATGAAAATTAACTGTATTGAACCACAAAATCATATTTTGGCGTAGTAAGAGAATAAATCCACAATCTCCTTCCATGCCATAAATATGAAAATTAACTGTATTGAACCACAAAATCATATTTTGGCGTAGTAAGAGAATAAATCCACAATCTCGTTCCATGCCATAAATATGAAAATTAACTGTATTGAACCTCAAAATCATATTTTAGCGTAGTAAGAGAATAAATCCACAATCTCGTTCCATGCCATAAATATGAAAATTAACTGTACTGAACCACAAAATAATATTTTGGCGTAGTCAGAGAATAAATAAAAAATCTCGTTCCATAACACAAAGTCCTAATATACATTTGTTCTGAACGAAATATGCATTGTTTCATTTTATAAATGTAATGTTATTTGGAAGAACTCTTTCAAATTGCATGAAATGCCGGATTTTAGTTTTATATTTTCAACATCCCCCCCCCCCCCCCCCTGACTCCGGTTGGAATGGATTTCAAAACAAATTTAACGTTTGCCCCCCTAATCGAAACTTTTTGCAACCGCCTCTGAATATTACTTTCAATAACAAAGTAAATCATTCTAGTAACTACAGGGAAACAACTCTTTATATTTCAAATTTTTATGTACCACCCCATTGTCTTCATATCGTCTTTTACCATCTCCTTTTAACCTGATTAAAATCTGTGACATCTATTAAAACTGACAAAAGTGAATACAGAACGTTTCCTTAAAGCCTTTGTAAAAATCACATCTCACCCCCATCATCCTATTATGAAAGATATGTGGTCTCGACTAGGGAAATTTTTAAAAGAAAAGGACATAATATAGTCCATGGTAGGGCCTATTGTGTCTAAACGTAACCTAACATTTATTTTTAATTTTGTTTTTTTCTGGGGGTGGGAGCCCGTGGACTTGGTTCAGTCCCTATGTCAGTTAAGCCACTGATGTGGTCTCTCTGCCCCCCTATAGGTTTGTTCTAAAGTAACCTTACACTCGTAACGATCTTAGCGCTAGGACGTCCTAAAAACAGTGTAAAGATATTACGAATTTAAACGTGCACTAAAGATGCATTTTTCTTTCACTAAAAGTAGCAATTTTTGGCAGCAAAACATATTTATTACAATTTCCATAGACATTAATGTTCCCGTTGGAACCATTATTCTTCTCATACTTTCAGATTCTGAAGAATATGGATTTTCATTTCATATATTCAAATTATATTATATGTTTCAAACTAACTGCACAAACAAACTCTCTCACTAGAGGTTAAGCCTGCATGCCTACGCCTGTGCTTTCGTACCATTACCTAACCGCAATGTTACAACCTCAAATTCTAGGTTCTGGAATGAATGTTAAAGATAAAAACCCCACTACATCTTACCGCTAAGATCGTTTCAAGAGTGCGTGGCCAGGTTCTTGGAGCGCAAATGGGGGGCAGATTGACATACCAAATATATTGATGTAAAAACCACTACATTATAGGTATAATAATTTATCGTCGTATGAAGCAGTATGAGTTCATCGTTTACAGTTAGTCAATTCTTTTGTCAATAGACAGTATCAATTCTACTTCAATAACTAACTAAAAACAATTTAACATTTTGTAATTGTTAAAATCTTACAACTAGGAAGGTGTTACAGTCAGCTAACCCCCAAAGGGGTTAAATTAAAGTAAGTCACATTACATAATGCACCAGCGGTAAAGTGTTCCGCCACTATAAACTTTTTCCCAACATTAAAAAATTTATCAAACTTCTTTTAAAATTTATCAAACTTTTGACCAACATTTTATGCTCTGTCTACACTTGAACAATATTTCAACAAAAATTTTCCAACAAGCAGTAACTCTGTCTACATCTGCCAAATTTCTCCAACATGGTGTCGGGTTTGAGAAGCCAAAAGCTGAGAAACTGAAAGGATTGTTTCTCAGACAAAATGATGTGGGGCAGTCAGACACATTATGCAAATTTCACAAAATTATAGGTAAAAGTTTATGATGCTGTGAGGTAACATAGATGATTGTTGACAGTATAGTCAATTCTTTTGTCAATAGATATGCATCACCTTTCTTCAATACCTCTACTCTTATAACAAATTATTATTAATAATTGTTAAAAACATTCAACTAGGAAGATGATTACAATCATTTACAATTATTCAGTGTGTCGAACATAGACATCTTATATTACTATATTTATGGCGTCAAGCTTTAAAATACTAATGTCGTCATTGCAAAATGCATAATTATGCCAATGCTGCATCAATGTTGATGTGCAAAAATGAGAAATGTATATTCTCCAAAATCTCCAGCTAGCATTTAACACTTTGAATTGGACAACTTGTATTAGATACTTTGTATTACGCATTCTGCACATTATACGACTGGAAACGCGATTCAAACATTTAATTTGTCTTGAAATCACACTTTTTTTTTTCATGAACTGTTTCAGTCACATTCACATAATGAAGACAATTAATTTCCTGTCTGTTGTTTAAACGTAGCCGTGTATGTTTTACGACAGAATGTTGTTTCCTGTCGGCCTGTCTGTAGTTTAAACGTAGCCGTGTATGTTTTACGACAGAATGTTGTTTCCTGTCGGTCTGTCTGTTGTTTAAACGTAGCCGTGTATGTTTTGACGACAGAATGTTGTTTCCTGTCGGTCTGTCTGTAGTTTAAACGTAGCCGTGTATGTTTTACGACAAAATGTTGTTTCCTGTCGGTCTGTCTGTAGTTTAAACGTAGCCGTGTATGTTTTACGACAAAATGTTGTTTCCTGTCGGTCTGTCTGTAGTTTAAACGTAGCCGTGTATGTTTTACGACATAATATTGTTTCCTGACGGCCTGTCTGTAGTTTAAACGTAGCCGTGTATGTTTTACGACATAATATTGTTTCCTGACGGCCTGTCTGTAGTTTAAACGTAGCCGTGTATGTTTTACGACAGAATGTTGTTTCCTGTCGGCCTGTCTGTTGTTTAAACGTAGCCGTGTATGTTTTACGACAGAATGTTGTTTCCTGTCGGTCTGTCTGTAGTTTAAACGTAGCCGTGTATGTTTTACGACAGAATGTTGTTTCCTGTCGGCCTGTCTGTTGTTTAAACGTAGCCGTGTATGTTTTACGACAGAATGTTGTTTCCTGTCGGTCTGTCTTTAGTTTAAACGTAGCCGTGTATGTTTTACGACATAATATTGTTTCCTGACGGCCTGTCTGTAGTTTAAACGTAGCCGTGTATGTTTTACGACAGAATGTTGTTTCCTGTCGGTCTGTCTGTAGTTTAAACGTAGCCGTGTATGTTTTACGACATAATATTGTTTCCTGACGGCCTGTCTGTAGTTTAAACGTAGCCGTGTATGTTTTACGACAGAATGTTGTTTCCTGTCGGCCTGTCTGTTGTTTAAACGTAGCCGTGTGTGTTTTACGACAGAATGTTGTTTCCTGTCGGCCTGTCTGTAGTTTAAACGTAGCCGTGTATGTTTTACGACAGAATGTTGTTTCCTGTCGCCCTGTCTGTAGTTTAAACGTAGCCGTGTATGTTTTACGACAGAATGTTGTTTCCTGTGGCCCTGTCTGTAGTTTAAACGTAGCAGTATATGTTTTACGACAGAATGTTGTTTCCTGTCGGTCTGTCTGTAGTTTAAACGTAGCCGTGTATGTTTTGACGACAGAATGTTGTTTCCTGTCGGCCTGTCTGTAGTTTAAACGTAGTCGTGTATGTTTTACGACAGAATGTTGTTTCCTGTCGGTCTGTCTGTAGTTTAAACGTAGCCGTGTATGTTTTACGACAAAATGTTGTTTCCTATCGGCCTGTCTGTAGTTTAAACGTAGCCGTGTATGTTTTACGACAGAATGTTGTTTCCTGTCGGTCTGTCTGTAGTTTAAACGTAGCCGTGTATGTTTTGACGACAGAATGTTGTTTCCTGTCGGCCTGTCTGTAGTTTAAACGTAGCCGTGTATGTTTTACGACAGAATGTTGTTTCCTGTCGGTCTGTCTGTAGTTTAAACGTAGCCGTGTATGTTTTGACGACATAATATTGTTTCCTGTCGGCCTGTCTGTAGTTTAAACGTAGCCGTGTATGTTTTGACGACAGAATGTTGTTTCCTGTTGGCCTGTCTGTAGTTAAACGTAGCTGTGTTTGTTTTACGGCGGAATGTTGTTTCCTGTCGGTCTGTCTGTAGTTTAAACGTAGCCGTGTATGTTTTACGACAGAATGTTGTTTCCTGTCGGTCTGTCTGTTGTTTTAACGTAGCCGTGTATGTTTTACAACAGAATGTTGTTTCCTGTCGGTCTGTCTGTTGTTTAAACGTAGCCGTGTATGTTTTGACGACAGAATGTTGTTTCCTGTCGGCTTGTCTGTAGTTTAAACGTAGCCGTGTATGTTTTACGACAGAATGTTGTTTCCTGTCGGTCTGTCTGTTGTTTTAACGTAGCCGTGTATGTTTTACAACAGAATGTTGTTTCCTGTCGGTCTGTCTGTTGTTTAAACGTAGCCGTGTATGTTTTGACGACAGAATGTTGTTTCCTGTCGGCCTGTCTGTAGTTTAAACGTAGCCGTGTATGTTTTACGACAGAATGTTGTTTTCTGTTGGCCTGTCTGTAGTTAAACGTAGCTGTGTTTGTTTTACGACAGAATGTTGTTTCCTGTCGGTCTGTCTGTAATTTAAACGTAGCCGTGTATGTTTTACGACAGAATGTTGTTTCCTGTCGGTCTTTCTGTAGTTTAAACGTAGCCGTGTTTGTTTTACGACAGAATGTTGTTTCCTGTCGGTCTGTCTGTAGTTTAAACGTAGCCGTGTTTGTTTTACGACAGAATGTTGTTTCCTGTCGCCCTGTCTGTAGTTAAACGTAGCTGTGTTTGTTTTACGACAGAATGTTGTTTCCTGTCGGTCTGTCTGTAATTTAAACGTAGCCGTGTATGTTTTACGACAGAATGTTGTTTCCTGTCGGTCTTTCTGTAGTTTAAACGTAGCCGTGTTTGTTTTACGACAGAATGTTGTTTCCTGTCGGTCTGTCTGTAGTTTAAACGTAGCCGTGTTTGTTTTACGACAGAATGTTGTTTCCTGTCGGTCTGTCTGTTGTTTAAACGTAGCCGCGTATGTTTTACGACAGAATGTTGTTTCCTGTCGGTCTGTCTGTAGTTTAAACGTAGCCGTGTATGTTTTACGACAGAATGTTGTTTCCTGTCAGTCTGTCTGTAGTTTTAACGTAGCCGTGTATGTTTTACGACAGAATGTTGTTTCCTGTCGGCCTGTCTGTGTAGCAGTATATGTTTTACGACAGAATGTTGTTTCCTGTCGGCCTGTCTGTAGTGTAAACGTAGCCGTGTATGTTTTACGACAGAATGTTGTTTCCTGTCGGTCTGTCAGTAGTTTAAACGTAGCCGTGTATGTTTTACGACGGAATGTTGTTTCCTGTCGGCCTGTCTGTAGTTTAAACGTAGCCGTGTATGTTTTACGACAGAATGTTGTTTCCTGTCGGTCTGTCTGTTGTTTAAACGTAGCCGTGTATGTTTTACGACAGAATGTTGTTTCCTGTCGGTCTGTCTGTTGTTTAAACGTAGCCGTGTATGTTTTACGACAGAATGTTGTTTCCTGTCGGTCTGTCTGTAGTTTAAACGTAGCCGTGTTTGTTTTACGACAGAATGTTGTTTCCTGTCGGTCTGTCTGTAATTTAAACGTAGCCGTGTATGTTTTACGACAGAATGTTGTTTCCTGTCGGTCTGTCTGTTGTTTAAACGTAGCCGCGTATGTTTTACGACAGAATGTTGTTTCCTGTCGGTCTGTCTGTAGTTTAAACGTAGCCGTGTTTGTTTTACGACAGAATGTTGTTTCCTGTCGGTCTGTCTGTAATTTAAACGTAGCCGTGTATGTTTTACGACAGAATGTTGTTTCCTGTCGCC